TTCACAGACAGCAGATCAACCTCTGGCTGCCATGTAAGGCTCTAGGTGGGCAGTGGCAATAAAAATGTGGATCAACCTGTTTGTACAGCCCCTTTAGCACACATATGAAAGAGGGCTAAGAGGGGAATTCCTCTCAGCTTGTAGAGATTTCCTCTCCTTACCTCGTGCATCTCTGGGACAGGGCATTAAGAGAAATGTTATCAACTGAACACAAAAACCAAAACGATAAAGACAAAAAATAAAAATAAACCGACAGGTGTTTTACCCCCTCACTACTGTACCCAAAACTAAAAAGAACATTTTGGCTATTCATGCACTTGCACTCACCCTATCAATATCTGAAGTTAAATATACAATCATTTGTATGAGTGTGACCTGCACCAACTCCAAGGAGCATGAATTGGAGAGGATTGTTCTTCGCTATAAGCCAATTTCTACTACAAAGAAAAAGAAACCTACAAACAGAACTATGAGCAGACAGAATCTAGTTCACAGTCATCTCTATACACTGTTCACCCAGGCACTGTCTAAACAATCCAATCGATTCCATGATTATACTCTGTTTCCATCGGTTGCTCATCATCCTGGATTTGATTTTCAGATGAAGGCAAGTACTGAAAATGTGAATGTAAGCATTCCAGTGAGATACAATAATCTTTTGATCTTACCAGGAAGAACCCCAATGCCCTACTTCAAGGTTACCCTAGGTAACGCTTCCACCATATGTAGGTCTCAGCCCGGGCTTTACCCCAAATCTTGTTAGAATCCTTTCCCAGCCCCACTTGTGTGACCCTAGAGCTATCCGCTCTCTCCCAGGCCACCATCAACACAGACTGCTCTTAACTGTGGTAGACCTGAAGAGAATGCTGGGTTACTGGATGAGCTCACAGGTCAGTCTTGTGTCCCAGTCCGGGCCTTCCTGTGCTATAGGAGTGTGCATTTCTTCTCCAGGATGATGTAGCTCTCGAAAGTACAGCTCTTCTCCAATAAGAATCCCCTCATTGGAAGTAGCTGCTATCATCTCTTTTTCCTCTGAGTCTCCAGCACTGGGGCGCCCACACTCCTCTCAACAGCACAGGCTTCTAGTAGACAGACTGAGCCAAGTTCACTTTTCAAACAAATTGAGGTTGATTTACTATAATTAGAGAGTGCAAAATATGTTGCAGCTGTGCATGGTAGCCAATCAGCTTCTAACTTCAGCTTGTTCTAATTAAGCTTTGACCAAAAAAAAAAACTGGAAGCAGATTGGTTTCTATGCAGAGCTGCAGATTTTGCACTCTCCAGTTTTAGTAAATCAACCCCATGGGAAATCACCATATAATTTTTTCAGCCCTCTCACATACACTATATTTCCAAAAGTATTGGGATGCCTGCCTTTACACGCACATGAACTTTAATGGCATCCCAGTCTTAGTCCGTAGGGTTCAATATTGAGTTGGCCCTCCCTTTGCAGCTATAACAGCTTCAACTCTACTGGAAGGCTGTCCACAAGGTTTAGGAGTGTGTCTATGGGAATGTTTGACCATTCTTCCAGAAATGCATTTGTGAGGCTATGCACTGATGTAGGATGAGACCTGGCTTGCAGTCTTTGCGCTAAGTCATCCCAAAGGTGTTTTATCGGGTTGAGGTCAGGACTCTTTGCAGGCCAGTTAAGTTCCTCTACCCCAAACTCGCTCATCCATGTCTTTATGGTCCTTGCTTTGTGCACTGGTGCAAAGTCATGTTGGAACAGGAAGGGGCCATCCCCAAACTGTTCCCACAAAGTTGGGAGTATGAAATCGTCCAAAATATCTTGGTATGCTTGGTATTGCCAGACAGAGAAACGTGATTCGTCACTCCACAGAACATGTCTCCACTGCTCTAGAGTCCAGTGGCGGTGTGCTTTACACCACTGCATTTGGCTCTTTGCATTGCATCCGGTGATGTAAGGCTTCGATGCAGCTGCTCGGCCATTGAAACCCATTTCAAGAAGCTCTCTACGAACTGTTGTGCTAATCTGAAGGCCACATGAAGTTTGGAGGTCTTTAGCCATTAGCTACAGTAAAAGTCACTTTTAGCTCTGATTTTATTCTATAATTTGTGTAATGTTGAATGCATAGTAAAGCAATGCCAGCATATAGTAAATTTATAGTAAATGCACTTCAAATGTCTGTATACACTAGTAAAAACTGATCGTATCACTTTCCATTAATCAGGTTATTTACCAAGGTACTTTTCAATTAAAGTACACATTGAGAACACTAGACAAGCATGATCATAAAACAACTAAACAATCTTCTGCTCCAGTTCATCAAGATATTCAGCAACATGCAATGTAACCAACAAGAATTATTACATAGAAACATATATATTTACTTTTCCGACCATTTCTGACCTCTTTCATTATTAATTCAATTGGCAAAGAAAATTGCACTCTAGAGTCTAATTCTCCAAATGTATGCCACCAATCCAATTAACTGCTGAGGGTCCCATTGAAAAATAAAATGGCAGGTATTCAACCATAAGAGGATAGGAAGTGGTTGAACTGTAAGCATGAAGTATGAAAGTAAATGCAAAGAAATAAGCACTAAAGCTGGCCATAGCTGGAAAGAAAATTCAGCAGGAACTGGACAAATTTTGATCCATCTATGGCTGTTCCTTTTTGAGAGCAGTCGATTTAAGTACTGACTGCTCTCAAAGGGGCTTGTTGCAAAATTGCGTTTTGACCACTGCTGAGCAGTGTGTTCTGATGGTGGGGGGAGTCCCTGCTGTCAGGATACAATAGTGCAGCAAAGAGGATTCTGTCATCCATCTCGAATGTGTGGATGGAGGAATTCTTGGGGGGACCAGCTGGCTGATCAAAAAAAAAAAAAAAAAAAAAAAGACATCCATCTATGGCCAGCTTAACAGTAAGAACTAGTACTCCCTAATGCTGGATACACACTAGAAGGGTTTTGTTTTTTTTTTTTGGTTCAACCCAGTGGGTTGAACAAATAAATCCCAAGAGATCACCATACTAACACAAGTGAAGTTAATGTGGCAATCTCCCTCCACTGTGCTATTGTATTCTGACAGGGGGATTCATTTCCCCCACATCCTGCCAGGGTACACTGATCTGCACTGGTAGCCATTGGCTGCCAGCACTGATCAGATACTGGTTTTCCAGTATGCCCGTTATACAGAAGCTGGTCTTACTACCAACTTCTGTCGAAAAGACAGCTGTAAATACGGACTGAAAATCACCTGGTTCCTGCTGAACCGACCGATTTTCAGCCTGTAAAAAGGCTGTAAGATGAATCCACCCCCACAGGTTCCTGATGTTGGTGTTATTCTGAGCAGGTAGCAGCTCCAGGGAAGTGAACAAAAACACAAGGCTGCAGTCAATGTTATTAGCAATTCAACTATACCTTGATTTTAACAGATACCTGCTCCCACTTCTCCTCAAATCGCAGTGGAGGTTTAGTCCCTCCACGGCTCATGCATGTGCAGTAGCAAACCGTATGTGAAGCCGGAAGGCTTGACTGCCAGTTTCCCTTACCCAAGATGCTGGCGCCTGCACTTGAAGCCGGTTGAAGAATCGGATCGGGTGAGGACATCGCTGGAACTCTAGAGGTAAGTATTCTCATATTAAAAGTCAGCAGCTACAGTATTCGTAGCTGATTTTTTATTTTTTTGGGGGGGGAGACAGGACCTTCTCTTTAACATGTAAAAGTTAATTCTGATGCTAGGTCCATTTGCAAGTTTGCAGTGCAATGACATACTGATCCAGCAGGTGACACTGCAGTGCAAAATCTCCCAGGACCTGAACCAAAGGGGAACACCCCAGTGTTATTTACAAGGAAGCTTCCTGTACAGAATCTGGCATTCCCCTGTAACTACGCACCCATAGCCATACAATGATTGTGAGGCAGATACTATGGTCAAATAGGACTCTAGAGCGTAGATTAAAGTATATCTAAAATCAAAACTTAATTTTGAATCAAGTAGGGGAGGATCATAATTTGATATTTACCATCTATGTCTCATTGGGGAAATTTTCTTCATTTCCCATCCTGTAGTCTCCACATGAAATAAGAGAATATTTTTTAATGTGAAGAAATCCTCAGACAGCTGTCACCAGAACAAGTGCCCCCATTGGAAGATTTCCCCTCTACTTTTCTGGAGGCAACTCAAAATGTTAGGTTTATTCTTGGTGACATTGGTGGTCAGGACAGTTGGAGAGAGTGAAGCTCTTCCACAGCACTAACAACCTGGCAGTGGTTCGAACCCCTTACTACTAGGACTTCACATCTTTTATAAAAAAAATTGTCTTTTAGTTAAACTTTAGGTATGCATCACAAAGTAAATGTATGAACACAAGGAACATAATAAAAGTGCAGTAAAACAAAGGCAACACAAACTGTGCACACAAGTACAAGAAAACCTACAATTCTTCACATGTAATTTATCAAATCCCACAGTGAGATGTGAGCAGCTATGGCTGAAGATCTGTTGGCCACCTGGTTTGTTCCATGAACTATAAGAGCTTGAAAACTTACCTATTTAATACAAAGGGTCAATATTAGATAGACCTTTATAAAGAAAAACGCCTCAACACAATTAGATCAAAACAGAATAATTAACAATGATCACATTACACAAAAAAGGACACTTTATATATTTACATAAGAACACACTGCATCTCTTTGTGCTTTATAGTCTATCAGTCTAATCAAAATATCTTGCAGGGTGGCCCCCAAAAGCTGTCACGCCGATGGACAGTACTCCACATTCACTTAATTCACCCAACATAGTCCAAGGTTTCTCTTTACAACAGAGGCACATATGTAATCTTTGGACTTGCCAAGTGATGACCAATGATCCAGTGGGCAGAGGTCCTCCAGGGTCAACACAATACTTTTAAACGAAGGCAAAATACTTCCATGGTTTTAAAAAAAATCCATATATATATATAAAAATATGAATACTGTACATTAGGAATTTATTTTTGGCAGCTGTAAACTCCCATGATTCTCCTTGGTTTACGTCAAGTTTGTAACAGTTTTGTGTTCAATAAGGTCTCTAAGAAGCATCTGTTCTGCTGAGATATTGTGATATTCATTCTGTCAGGAGAAGAAAAGACAACAGATGTTAAATACGAAGTAAAACACACTTGTGTCTACGCTTCACTGTAAAGGGACACCACCCCTGTGATGTTATTACCATATATTTACCAATTTCTACAAAAGCCTTTTTCAGCATCATTAAACTTAACCAAACACAAACATAGGAAACTTAAAGGGTTAGTTCACCTATTCCAAAAAAACCTACCTGCCTAGGAGGAAAAATAAACTGTGCAGCTCTGCCCAAAGTTGAATATTGCCCTTGCTATAGGTGAAGACCATCTAGGTATGTTATGAGAAAGCATAAGTGAGGTCTGAATCAGAGAAAGAGCTCACTCCTGTTTTTGTGAAGGTGAACAGTAATAGCTGGGCCTCTCTTAGCAATGTCCTGGGAGTTTTCAGGTCAAGCTCCATGAGGTACATAAATGGCCTATACCTACAGTAAGGGCATTATTCAATTTTGGTCAAAGCTGCGCAGCCTGTTTCCAGCTAGACAGATTTTGGTAAAGGTCAACTATGCCTTTAAATGGAGCACAAGCAGAGGTTACTTTAAGTGAAGGCTGCACCTCAAAATGATCAATAGATCCTTGTATACAGGATGATTGGATTCATTTTTACACAAATCTTGATTTTTTTTTCCCTGTAAAAAATTTAACTTGGCCCCCTCCTATGCTTGCCCATTGATCAGTGAGGGTGTCCTTTAAAACGAATGCACTTTAGAGAGGCATGTACATCTGCTTACACATTTTTTTCTCAGAGGTTTTGGTTTGTAACATGTCAATTTAAAAATTAAATATCTTTTAGTCTGAAACCATCTAGTTTTCTAAATGCCAGAAAGCTAACGTTTGTACGTGAACGCAAAGTATTTCAGAAATCCCATCTCTCTTGCATTTCAGAAAATCTACATGGAGTTTGGTGTAAAATGTTTAGGGCTGGTATACACCAGGTGCATCAAGCTGCGTTGTTAAATGCAGACTCATTGAAAGAATACCAAGAAAACAAAATGTTTTCTATGTGCCCTCTTCACACCATATAAGTGCATTACTATGTATAGTATAAAAATTCAGCATGTCTGTATTTTTACGCAATGCACATAGATGCATAAAAATGCACATCAGTGCATTGCAAAGCTATATACAATACTAGATTTGATCACAGATTTACAGCAAGCAAAACGCAAATTAGTACTTTCTTTGATGAACTCAAGAAGATTTCTTTTTCAGTTGCTCAAGAAATTGCTTTATGCTGGTTTTGGTTGCATTTAGATTGATCTGGAGAAATAAATGCTCAATAGACCTCAAAGAAGGGAAAAAAAGAAGGCTTCCCTCCCCCCTGTCCCAAATGTCATTGATGAATCTCCACTGCCAGCTGTTGTATTTAGGCAGCCATAACCGTGGCTACCTGAGCACCCAAAGGATGACTGCAGCTGATAAGACGCAGTCACTGTTTGACAGACTATTTCCCATCTAGCTCAGTCAATTTTTGATCAGCTTATCAAGCTGGGTGGTGTTTGCAGGGTTCACTGCTCAAAATTGAGCGGATTCAGCAGGAAGTAACCAACATTTGAGCCATATACAGTCAGCTTAAGAATCTGGAAAATTTGTTACAGGTTACTAGGACGCATGTGCAAAGAATCCCTGCAATGTGTAAATGAATAAAGAATGATTGATTTTTTTTTTGTTTTTTTAAACTTTAATATATTGGTGAGCAAGTATATATGTGTGTATATATATATATATATATGTGTGTACACATACACATCAGGTAAAAAAAAAGTACTGAAAATGTCACCATTTTTCTCGGTAAATATATTTCTAAAGATGCTATTGAAATGATAAGTTCAGAAATTAAGTTATGTGTAATAAAATGGAATGATACAGGGAAAAAAAGTATTGAACACATGAAGAAAGGGAGGTGCAAAAAGGCATGAACAGCCAAGACACCAGCTGAAATCTATCTGTAATTAGAAAGCAATCTTGCCCCTTGACAGTGCAAATTAATATCAGCTGTTTCAGTCTCAACTGATGCCCTATAAAAAGGTGTCTCATTACCTAGGTGTCACACAAGAAACATCTCATAGTGGGTAAAAGCAAAGAGCTCTCTCAAGACCTTCACAACCTTATTGTTGCAAAACATACTGATGGCATTAGTTACAGAAGGATTTCTAAACCTATCACAAGAGCTATGCAAGAGCCAAGGACCACTTGTGGAGAGCTTCATAAAGACCTGGAATTAGCAGGTACAATTGTTTTAAAGAAAACAATAAGTAATGCATTCAACCATCATGGCCTGTATGCACGTTCACCACACAAGACTACTTTGCTGAAGAAAAAGTATGTTGAAGCTTGTAAAAAGTTTGCTACACAACATTTAGACAAGCCTTGTTTGGAGGTCATATGGCACTGCACATCACCCCAAAAACACCATACCAACAGTGAAGTCTGGAGGTGGAACATCATGGTGTGGGGCTGTTTTTCAGCATACAGTACTGGCAAATTTCATGTCACTGAAGGAAGGATGAATAGAAAAATGTACCAAGACATTCTTGATAAAAATCTGCTTCCATCTACCAGGATGATGAAGATGAAATGAGGGTGGACATTTCAGCAAGAAAATGATCACAAAGCCAAGGAAACTCTCAACTGGTTTCAAAGAAAGAAGATAAAGCTGCTACAATAGTCCAGCCAATCACCTGACTTGAATACAACAGAAAATCTATGGAAAGAGTTCATAGAAGAGGTCCACAGAACCTTCAAGATTTGAAGACTGTTTTTGTGGAAGAAGCAATGCATGCGACTAGTTTCTCCATACAGGAGGCATTTTGAAGCTATCATTACCAACAAAGGATTTTGTACAAAGTATTAAATAAATTTCAGTTAGTGTGTTCAATACTTTTTCCCTGTGTCATTCTATTTTATTACGTATAACTTAATTTCTGAACTTATTTGTTTTGGTTTTACTAACGCGGTGAAAATTTCATGTCAATAGTACCTTAAGATATACATTTACCTAGAAAAATGGTAACGTGCCCAATACTTATTTTACCCGGTGTGTGTGTGTGTGTGTGTGTGTATATATATATATAAACATTTATTTTAATGTCTATAAATGTGGATCTTAAAGTAAAGATAAAATTTTTAAAAAATTCTAGAAAGTAGTACTTTTGGTAGAAGAGACTTGGCGTATGCGTGTAGCTGGGTGCCAGGATAATATAACTCAAACAAGCATGAGCAGGAGTCACATCATGTGGCTGCCCAATGCCACAGAATGAAGATCCTGAGTGCATAAGAACTATGCTAGGTTATATTTAGAGATATACAGTGCTGTCATAGAAGTGTATATAACTTGTCAGGGAGGCAGATGGTAGACAGTAAAGTGAAAGCTATCTGAATAACAGTTTGAAATAGACAAAAGCTGTTCCTCCAAATACCTCACCTATGATTAAAAACTAAAAAAAACTAAAAGAAATGTAAATGCCACATAAAAAGTGAGACACAAATGACAGAAAAATGATACTGAACAGCTTACAGGACTAATGAATTATAGACTGCAGTTCTTACCTGAGCCATTGCAGACATTGTTTCATTTCCATAATAGTGAAGTGAACTATTTAAAGATGTTAAGTTGTATTTAAATCCTGCTATATGGACTTCATTACATATATGGAATGCCAATGTGATGGCGATGATTCCAGTGGTGGGATGTTTTGGTTTCTAGAAAACATTAAGGGAGGAAAAATAAAAGCACAATCCATATTAGATGACACCAGCAGGTGGCAGCATTATCCAACACTTAAATGCAACAAGTTATCAGTTCCAAGTTGGGTTAGGTAAGCTTAGCCAGGCTCTCTCTTACTGCAGTAATGACGCTGCACCATACTGTTTGTATTGTTTATATCCACATACATCCTGTTTAAACCCTTTGCCCCTGCCTGTACACATATATGCGGCCTCACTGAAGTAGGTCTCCTTCCTTGAGGCTGCACATATGTTAGTTTGAGCTGAAAGCACCCTGAGTTTCGGGCCTGGTTCCCGATCAGTAGATCGCTGTGAAAGCCTCTGATAGGCTATCACAGTGATCAATCACTATACAGCCCACTCCTGTGGCAGATGGAATTGAGAGAAAAATACCTCCTTGCCAGAGGAGAAAATGCAAAAAAATAAAGATAAAATAGGTAGATCATTGTTTGAACTAGCTCAGGATTAGGGTCAGGGTCAATGGTCAGAGTCAGTGAATTTTAGATAAGGTAAAAGAACTTTTTAAATTCATATCAATGTCAGTGTGTATTAGCCAAGTTAAAAAAAAGCAGAATGCCCAGTGTTGTTTCTAGGCCTTACTACGTGGACAAACAACAAATAATATATTATTATATATACAGGATTTATATAGCGCCAACAGTTTGCTCAGAGCTTTACAATATAACGGGAGACAATACAGCAACAATACAGTTCAACACAAGAGGGATAGGAGGGCCCGCTCCTTGGAGCTTACAATCTAAGAGGGAGGTACACAAGTAATATCGCTGCTATTGTCAGGAGAAGAATTTATTTTGGGTTGTTCTTTGGCAGTGGGTTATGGTATTATAAATTGTTTTTTTTAATATTTTGGGCTAGTTTCCCTTCCCTTTGATACTACAAAAACAACAACAAAAACATTACCATTTATCACCAAATGAAAGCTCAATTTGTCCAGAAAAAAAAAAACCGCAGTATAATCCACTTAGACTATGTAGTTGCAATGATATGTACAGTTTTACTTACACATGTCAAAGTTGGAAAACTGTTCAGGCAAACACCATTGCACAAAGTAGGTAAGTATAACAAAAAAAAAAAGTGTAACTTTACTACTACTTTAATTCCCTCTTCATTGCTCTCCCTCGTTTACCTCTATTGTGCTAATAAATATGCTAAAAGGTAATTGTGGGAGTGAAAAATATATATATAAACCATTATTATATTAAAGTGGCTCTAAAGGCTCAGGGTTTTTACCTTCATGCATTCTATGCATGAAGGTAAAAAAAACCCTCTGTGTAGCAGCTCCCCCAGACTCTTAACCTGAGCGCCATCCCGATCCAGCGAGAGCCTCCACGAGAGCCTCGGTTCTCCGGGGACTTTCACTCCTGATCCGCTGAGGCAGTGGTGGCAGCCACTGGCTCCTGCTGCTGTCAATCACAGCCAGTGAGCCAATCAGGAGAGGGAGGGGGCGGGGCCAAGCTGCAGCTCTGTGGGGGCACCCGACAGGAGGGAAGGGCTAGGAGTGCTGGTGGGAGACCCAAGAAGAGGAGGATCTGGGCTGCTCTGAGCAAAACCACTGCACAAAGCAGGTAAGAATGACGTTTGTTATTTAAAAAACAAAACTTTAGAATTACTTTAACAATCATAAGGGCATGTTTAACGTAAGGAAAATTATTTTTCTTTAACCCGTTGAGTGTAAATGATGTACAATTGTTTCCTGAACACAAAGAGGTAAGCATAATAAGTCACTACCATTACTGTCTACATTAAGAACAGCAGGCAGCCAGCGGAGAAGTACATGTGCCAACTTGTCCTTCCAGCCTCTGCCAAGGACTGCTAAGCTGAACATCACAGCTAGAGAACAATGGACTACTGCATGTTATCTGAAAAGGATACAATTAATAAAAACCTTTTCATGGCACAAAGATTACTTTTCCATATTTATATACTCATTTTATTTGTTTTGTTAATAATACCCTATATTTACTACACAGGCCTGTGCACAGATAAAACACAAAAGGTTCCATTCACTAAAAATCCACTGAATTCTTAGGCTTTTTTTAATCTTTAATACAGCATTCCATAAAATGTTTTAAATGAAAACCGCCTAAACCGCTGGGCATGGGGGAGAGATGCTGCAGGGACCAGTCTAGCAGCGTGGAGGAGCAGAGATCAGGTAAGTAAATCTACTTTTCCATGCCCCCAGACCTAAAACACGCAGTTAACCTAGCAATGCAGACATAGCCCCTCTGCACACTTCCTGGAGTTCCAATTAAAAAGAAAAATAATCAACAAATATATATATTTCTTTTTTAGTCAGGTAAATATTGGAAGTTGCATATTCATATTATTTAGTAGTCTATCCAGTCACTAGGTGGATCTCTAGTCTCCTTTTCACATGTACAGCATTGTATCACTGAAGAAAGTGGTAATTAATTATCCCTTATCAAATTGCATAGTCCTAGGTTTCAATTAGACTAACGGAGCTGTAAAGGAAGCTCTGATAACGGTGTTGTTGCTTTAGCTATTCCACAGTACTCTTAGAATACCTTTTCATGTATTAACCTCTTTACTGCAGTAACAGGCTATATAATTATATATATTAAGAAAAACAAATTTGCAGCTGCAATAGCATTGTTTGCTTACAAAAAATAGTTTGTTTACATATTTCTGGGTTTAACCACTTGTTGACTGCGCTATAGCTGAATGACAGCGTCATTTGACGTTCTCCCAGAACCATGCTCCGTGCACTGGCACTCTCTGTGTTCTTTGAACACAGCTGATCTCATGACGCAGTAAATGGCGAATCACAGCAGCCTTTTATCATGTAATCAGCTGTGCCCCAGTGATGATTAACCATTTCATACCGGGCAATTTTCCCCCTTCCTGCCCAGGCCATTTTTCACGTTTCAGCGCTCTCACACTTTGAATTACAATTGCGCGGTCATACAACATTGTACCCAAACTAAAATTTTATCATTTTCTTCACACAACTAGAGCTTTCTTTTCGTGGTATTTAATCACCGCTGGGGTTTTTATTTTTTGCTAAATTAACAAAAAAAGACCACAAATTTTGAAAAAAAACACGTTTTTCTTTGTTTCTGTTATAAAAGTTCACAAATAAATAATTGTTCTTCATAAATTTAGGCCGAGATGTATTCTGCTACATGTCTTTGGTGAAAATAACCCAAATTAGGATGTATTATTTAGTTTGTAGGAAAGTTATAGAGTTCACAAACTATGGTATAGATCGAAGATTGATCAATCCTGAAGTACTGACGGCCAATCTAATTTCTTGAGGTCCAAGAATGTCAGAATAGTACAGATATCCCCAAATGACCCCTTTTTGCAGAGTAGACAGTCCGACGTACTTCATAAGAGGCATGGCGAGTTTTTTGAAGTTGTATTTTTTTTTGTCATAATTTTTCGGAAAATGAAAAAATAAAAAAATTATTTTTACTATTTTTTTTTTTTACATACTGTCACCAGTGCAGTACAGCATCATCATATAACTGGCATGGCGTGAACAGGGACACTGACTGGTGACAGTATGAAAAAAAAATTATATATATATATATTTTTTTTTGTAGTTTTTTATTATTAATTTTTTATTAATTTTTTTAAAAAAATTAAGATTTTTTTTTCATATTTTACTATGACCAAAGTAGTACAATGTTACCATAGTAACATTGTACTACTTTGGGGAAGTGATCAGTATTTTTTTTTTACACAATTTGCTTATAGCAAAGAATTACATTGCTATAAGCAAGCATTTACCGAAATCGATTCATTCAGGGTTTTTTTTTTTTTTTGTGCTTAGCTGTGATTTGGCCACAGCTAATCACATGACATGTGCATGTGACCTGCTGTGACCATTCACAGCTAGGCACTAGTATACAATAGATGGCATGAATGAAGCCATCCATTGTATACAACTGTCATGTGACCTGCTGTGATTGGTCACAGCAGGTCACATGGTACCGGCAACGGGGGCCGGTACTCAGATCTGTCATCGGCCGTGTCCCAAGGTACACGGCCGGTGACAGATCGCGCCGCTGCGCGGCTCTGCAACCGCGCGAACTGCAAATGTGCGGGAGCTAGCCAAATGACGTGCACCCGGAAAGCTACAGCATTTTTGCGGCCGCCAAACGGCTATAGGCCGGGCGGCTAATGGTTAAATACCACCAAAAGAAAGCTCTATTTGTGGGAAACAAAATTATAATGTCACATGTGTACAGTGTTGTATGACCGTTCAATTGTCATTCCAAGTACGACAGCACTGAAAGCTGAAAACTGGCCTAGGCAGGAAGGGGATAAAAGTGCCCAGTAGGCGAGTCGTTAAAGCTGCCAGAAACCAGACAGTTCTAGCCAGTAAACAAAAAATCAAGGACATTTTCTCCCTGATCTATTTAGACTGCGTGTACAGCAGACATTTTTTGCATATATGGAGTGACACATACTCTTTACAGAGACATCATTAGACCCCTGATGTCTCCATAAAAAGCACCTATCACTTCATATATACTGTTGCATAGGGGCTTGCCAGCACCTTTAAAATAGCTATACAGTTAAAGCTGAACTCCAGCCTTACCTTCAATTTGCACATTGGTGCAAACTGATCTCCTCGCCTAAAAATGGTTTGCCTCGATTTCACTGAACACTATGAACTTCTTATAGTGTGCATTAGAAGCTGCTGCAAGTCCAATACAGTTTGTCCCATTTCCTGACTGGAGGATGTCTGGCATCATATAGCCCTTTCCTCCCCTGCTTGACTGTCCCAGGCCCAACTTTTTTATTAATTTCAGCTCTGTCAATCATGGAGGCTTAGCATCACATGTGGGCATTGCCTAGGACAGTTTGTATGAAAATACAACATGCCTAGTAACACCCATTCTTTCAGACTGAAATGCAGTCATCAAGGCATTTTGAAGAGGTACTGAGGCAGGGTGTAGTAATGCTTTTTTAAAATAGCCATGATTTGCCTGCACCCCACTGAAAAGCAGAAAAACTCAGTGATGACATCATTGGGTCTAAAAGACGTGTCTAAAAAAATTAAAGTATAATTGCAAACTTTTTTTTTTTAAGTTTGTTCATTAATTTTATAAGAGGCGTAAAAAAAGATACATTACAAAAAAAAAATAAAAAAATAAAAAAAAGACAAAGTGACGAGCAAAACCTATAAAACAACCTGAAGGTCCGTTTAAGGTCATGCAGGGCCGTACCACCCCAAAACAGTCCCTCCCCTCCGCCCTCCCAATTACAAACTTATTAAGAAAAAAACAAAGCAAAAAAAAAAAAAAAAAAAAACAGACATTCGAACTCAAGCACAGATATAAAATGACACCTACATAACACTTCTTAAGTACTACCACGCATGCTAAAAAGAATTCTAGGGCCATTATTTACAGTTAAATGAAATCTACAGGTAAAAAATGTTTGTTTTTTTTTTTTTTTTTTAAATAAACCTAATATACAATGGTTTTGCACAGAGCAGCCCCGATCCTCCTCTTCTTGGGTCCCCCCGCCGGCGCACCTACCTGGCGAGTGCTCTCCCATGGCAAGCAACTTACTATGGGGGCACTTGTGTGTGCTTACTCCTAAGTCCACTCTTGTGTCCATTAGCTCTGCCCCTCTGCACTTGCTGAGATTGACAGAAGTCGGAGCCAATGCTGTTGTCTCTGAGCCAATGAGTCGGAAGAGAGCAGACATAGTCTTTGCTTTCATGCACATCGCTGGATTGAGATTGGGCTCAGGTAAGTATAAGGGGGGAGGGAGCTGCATGGAGAAAGTTTTGTTATCTTAGGTAACAGTAGAATGCATTAAGGTAAAAAACCTTCTGCCTTTATAACCACTTTCATTTTAAATTGAGCTATATAAGTAACCTATTGACACTTTTTGGTATCGTGGTTTATGCCTGTTGGGAGCATGCAGTTTTGAGACTTGACATATTTCACAATCTTGTCTTTGATATTTTACAAAAATTGTCAATGTTATTGTGTTTGTATGCAATAAAACAAAAAAATTGCATCCAACATTTTGGTCTATTGGTCCCCTGCTTTCAGATAATATATATGGTTTTGAAGGTTTAATTGAAGCAGTAAGAAAATGTATACATTTAAAAAAAGACCTACAGGGAATCTCTTCCAGGGGGAAATGATTAGTGGGTTAACAGCTGTCAGCTGGTCTTGTTGTCACCCTCATCCTGATGTTATTATGCCTTCACTGCAGCCTTCATGACCTGTTAGAATCCCACTGATGGACAGGCAGTGGAAAGTGTCCAGGCAGCGATGTAGGTCCCAAAGCAGGGCCCTCCAGCTCTGCAGTCCAGAAGACTCTAAACCCATCTCACTGAATTCAAGCAAGTATTTTGGGAAATTAGATTTATTCTATGTAAGGATTAGCCACAGTAGAAGAGGGTGGGGGTAAAGTTTTTTGGAGAAGGGTCCTTGATCAGATATCAGCTTTAACTCGTGCACCCTAGACAATATATACTGAGCTCAACTCCCAGTCTTCTTCTTTAAAAGCTTCTGGCAATGTGAAGTAAGACCAATTGGGGAAAAATATGCAGGTAACTCTGATCAGGTAACGCCCCATTTCTTTCTTTATGCTGACTCTGGGAAATATAACGGCAGGAATATTTCTGGATTTATTTATCGGGAACCAAAGCTACAAGCACTGGAAACAAGCCAACCTTTAAAACCCTTGTCCAACTGTTGCTGATGGGGTACACTGAAACTGAGAAGTACTGTATCTGTCTACAATTCCTAATCCATTCCCATAAACTTGTGCTTTGTCACAGGCAAAGTACTTTTATGACATACATTCTGCAACAGCAAGACTACCAGTGTACATCGGACCATCCCCTGAAGTATACAGCTGTTTCCTCAGCTCAGGAAGCTTCAATGCTAAAGGAATTCAGGGAGATGTTAAACCCAATGTCTCTAAAGATGAAAAACTGAAAAAAAAACTGTTTAGTTTTTTTTCTATCCCTATTTTTTTTTTCACATTTGCAACAAAAAACAGACATTACACAGCAGACAACAAAATACCAGGAAACACTATGTTACCCTTTTACATCTATAGAAGAACCAACCACAAAGCTTACTTCTGTCTTTGGAAAGTTGGCAGGAAAATTCAGTAGATTCTGCGAAACCTGGCGAAGGATGAAAGGGTTGAGGACTCTCAGTTGAGGAGGATTATACATCAAGTTCATTGCAGGCTTCCTCCAAAACCCATATGTGTTCTGCGAGTACAAAATTACAGTATGACAGCAAAGATACAAAAACAGTACATATACAAAATTATACAAACAGTACAGATAGTCTTAGGAGAATAAAGGACATAAAGTGCATTGTGGTGCTGGTGAAAAATACATGCTAGGTGAGAATGGTGTCTTCCCTGACGGTCCAATGATATTTTGCAAGCATGTTATTATAGATACATTAACCTTTAGGAACATATTACATGTTCCACCCATCTTTAGGGTGGGACATGTAATGTTACCGCTCCTGCAGCCTATCCCCAATCCACCGTCTAATTATGATAGCACGACGGGCATCTTCTCCCCATACCCGCTGTCACAATTTGAAAACACCTCGGCCAAGCGCTGCTCTGCCCACACAGCCGTGTCATTCATTCACAGAGTTCTGTGAATGAATGAACTAAAAGTACCAACAGCCTTTGCAGCTGATGACTTGTAGTTCTCAATGAACTACATGGTGATAGTGAGCACCTGCGATCTGCTGTTTGCTGGTGCAATGCTTTACAGGCTACTACAAAAAAAATTATAAAAACATTTTTTACCTGCAGAAAAAAGTGCATCTAATATTATCATTAATTTTTTAAAGGTGAGCTTATCCTTTAAATCTTCCTTAACAATTAAGTGAAGTGCACAGGTTGCTGAAGTTTTCTATGTCACCCACAGCAAAATGTTCTAAACTTCTGACCAACTGAATCTGCCTCATTTCAGTATTTTACGGCCTGTCCTTCCTACATTGCCATGGCAAGAGGCAAACGGCATGGAGGCACACAATATGATAGATCCAATATTCATTACAGCCAGCTACACTGCATGAAAGAAACAACAACTGAAATACAACAATGAGAAATTAATGTACTTGTGCTGACTCCGTCAAACACAATTGCTGCAGCCCCAGAATAAGATGCATTTAAAAAAAAAAAATCTGGTATTCATTTTAACCAAATTCCTAATATTACTTCAAATTCCTAATATTACTTCATTTTACAGTACAGGCAAGAAGCTTAAAATATTACTGTATGTCCAGAGTCTGTTCCCAGTAAATAGTGTTGTGAGTCCTACACGCTGCATTTGTTAGGTGTGCTGATGTGATTTTACTATGTAAATGATTTGAATGGGGTCATTCAAAAGTGTTATAGTTCATATACAGTATGTGTAAATATGTGGAGAGAGTTCCTACAGTTATCCTTCGGTCATCTCCTGACAGAATAGAATTGTCCTGGCCTGGATGTGTGGGAGCTTTAGAGACTGATGATAAAGAATCTCTGTCCATACATATCTCTGACAAAGTAAATGGTTTCTGGAACCTCTAATTTGCTGCTGCTCTGAATAAAACTGAAGGCACTGTACTGTTATCAGCATAGGACAGAACAATATGTTCTCAGAGTGTAGATTATCTAAAAGGTCATTACTCTGAAGCTCATGCATTCCTAAATAATGTAAGGAGACATTTATCAATGCTGGAAAGAAGAATAAAAAAAATCCAATACATGGGATCTCTTTTACAGAGTAACTGAAAATTTTTAGCAAAAGCATTCTGTGCAATAAAAGAGACAAACATGAAATTAGTGTGTGTGGGTCAGTGCCACGGTGATGTGAGAAGTGCATGTCGTTACAGTAGTGATGAGAGAATGGTATCTACTGGCACTGCTGTGCATGTCCAAAATGTTGCCAACATATTACTTTTATCTCAACCCCTGCAATGCATATGCATGGGGACCAAAAGGTTGTGCATGTGTACCAATTCAGGGACAATACCGTGCAGGCGTGACTGTCATAAGTGTCATTGTCTCTGCTCATTTCTTTACTTTCTGAGTTCAAACCCAATGTAACTTTTGTACTGATTTTGTACACCACCATGAAATTACTGCAACATATTTTACAAAATATCAAGTTTTTTTTCTTTAAGAATAAAGCATTATTAAAGTGGCTGTAAAGGCTAATTTTTTTTAAACGTTCATGCAATCCATGCATGAAGGAAAAAAAAACCTGTGTGCAGCAGCCCCCCCAATACTTACCCGAGTCCCATCATGATCCAGCATTGTGCATGAAAGTCTCGCCTCCCTGGGGACTCTCCCTCCTCATTTGCTGAGACAGAGAAGAAGTTTGGGGATGAGCCTGCTTGGGTACCCCCATAGCAAGCTGCTTGATGTGGAGGCAGGGGTCAGGAGTGCTGGTGGGGGACCTGAGAAGAGGGGGATCAGGGCTGATCCATACAAAACAATTGCACAGAGCAGATAAGTATGGCATGTTTGTTATTAATTTAATTGCCCTTAAAGTGGTTCTAAAGGCATTGTATGCACAAAGGTAAAAAACCTTCAGCATGCAGCTCAACACCCCCCCCCCCCCCGAAGCCCCTGCTAATACCGGAGACCGATCCCCGTACAGCAATGTGCACAGGAGACTCAACTTTCCTGGGTCTCTCCCACCTCGCTGGCTGAGACTAAGCAGCAGGAGACACTTGCTCCCACTATCAATCACAGCCTGTGAAAAGGGAAAGGGGGGGGTGGCCTTGTCCCGCTCTGCTGTGTCCTTATGGCTTGGGGACGCGCATGTACCAGTGCCTCCATAGCAAGCGGCTTGCTATATAGGGCACTGCTCATGGGGGGGAGGAGCAAGAATTGCTGGTGGGAGACCCGAGAAAAGGAGGATCGGGGCTGCCCTGTGCCAAACTACTGCACAGAGCATGAAAGTATGACATGTTTGTTATTTTTTAAGAATAAAAATACATATATAGAGGGTTTAGTATCACTTTAAACAGTTTTCACAGGTCACAAGTGGCAGCTGCAGATATATATATATATATATATATATATATATACATATATATATATATATTGTTCTGACAAGAATGAGTGTGTGAGCCAGGAATTGTAACCCCCAAACATAGACCATGAGAAAAAACTTTGAGGGGAACGGACAGAAGAAGAAAAGTACAGATGAAGAATGGAGCAGAAGGGGACCCGTCTCAGGCAGACAACAAAATATCAAATTTACATTGGGAAAGCCTTGTAGTGGTTTTGACATTAAAATTTAATTCATATTACAAAAAGAGCAATTCTCACGGTCTATACAGGTTAAAACTGCTGAGGCACATAATGCCAGTTTCATATGGAACAAGTGGTTTCAGAAAAACTACTAAATGTGCTCATATTTGCATATGGAAACCAACAGCATTTCTATACAGGCACAGGCAAATGTGCCACTTTGAATATCAACACACATTGAACATGTACAGAGCCTTGGGAAGGGTGCTGAGGAAGGGGGCAACATTTCAGCATGTGATATGCAATCCTTATTCAATGTCAAATTGCTCTAAAACAATGGTTTATGATTATGGGAAACTTTCATGCGTATTCATAGTTGATGGATTATGAGTTCTTGTGGTCTACTTGAAAACATACAGTGCATAGTTTCTAGTGCCACAGGCCAGGGGGGTAGACATTTTACACATCTGATTGCTCTGTCATACTTTCATGCCATCATTTTAGATTCTTCCCCTAGTAACTAAATTGTACAGCAGACAGTGGAACCAGTATGCCTGCTCAAAGACGGACTGATTTAAGAACAGAACAGACATCAAGGTGCAGACCAAACGTTTTATTCACCACCAAAAACTTTTTGGCATTAGACTGCTAAGTTTGGTGCTGATTTTTTGATGCAAAAAGTAATTACTAGCACGACAGTTCTGTTAAGGATTCAATTTTTCAAGTTATCTAAACTAAGGGTAAACTTATAGTTTGGCTTAGGGTCAAGAATTTGAGATTAAAGTGATATAAAACTTTTTTTGCTTTATTAAGCACTTTCAGCAGCTGATTTAATAATTTACTGAGCATGCAGTACAAGTAAAAGGCAAAACTTTTTTTTTTAAATAAGAGTGCAAAGGGATTAGAACCCCTGCCATGTTTTTATTGCTGTCTGTGTCCCTGCTGGGGAGATTCAACCTCTCGATTTGCATTGCTCACTGTTGTCATCAAAAGTGAAAGCAAAAAAAAAAATCACAAATTTTGGCTTGTCCCCAGAACAGTAATAGAGGGTTAGGGTTAATCTTCCTATGGGGGCACTAGTTCTGCTGACCCTGGGGAAAACATGGGATTCCCTCACTTTGGAGGGATTCACTCTCACTTTCTGTTTTGGCTATGGGACAGGAAGTGAAATCTCATCAATGGAACATAGATGGCAAAAAAAAAAAACGGATTGAGGTTATAACCTTTCCTTACTCTATTCAAGATAAAATATGTTTTTCTTATAGTTCTACTTTAAAGGAGCTCTATGGTCACAGAATACACTTCCATTTTATAACAGCAGCATTGTGAGTGCTGCCAGTCTGCCCAACTCTCTTTCCACATTTTCCTTTGCATCTTCTCCTCTGCTGTTTACTATGGAACTCTAAGGACAACATATCCCATGGTACCTTCCTTCATACAGTATTTTCTGTACTGATTCTGCCTCCTGGAACCTTTCTCTCAACACCTCTGTAGTTCAGAAGGCAGGCTCTGTGAAATGTGTGACACATCAGTACCTACTCACAAAGTAAATGTGTGTGGATCTTCACAAAAGTAAGTGTACAAATTTCAAGATCATTCATATTAATAGGAGTAAGCTGCAAATAACAGAAATGCAATGTGGAAGTGAATCTATTATGTGTTTACATTTTAACCTTAGATACATTAATCTTTGAGAAAAGCAGTAAAACGAATGGGTGGGAGTCATTGAGCTATGTGTGTACATTTCAGCTTGAGATATTGAGCTCTGTAAGCAAAAGATTTTCTCTCAGAAAAGCAGGATAGCCCAGAAAGAAAACCCAAAAATACACACACACACACACACACATATATATATATATATACATACATATACAGAGAGAGAGAGAGAGAGAGAGAGAGAGAGAGATTTTGAAGGGATAGTACATCCTACATATGTGCACAGCAAATATGGCTGTCCCATGAACTTACAATCAGAAACTGTACACACAGAAACCATAA